TTTTGACAGTTCGTCTACTCGGTAATCCGAAGGTGGCTTCTTCATGATATGCGGGCCATCCGATTACTTTGAACTCTCTCCGGCTCGGCAGCAGGTGGATTCGACATCGAGGGATCCGATCGGCTTTCAGGCGATTAGTCTTGAGAACTTGTTTGTATACTTATTTATTACATATTTTCGGCCTCTCGGTTGTCGAGACGTATTGTATTATTTTATTTATCATTTAATTAATCGGAGTCAAATTGGGTATCAACACATTGCATGATTAAGGCTTTTGAGTTGGCTAGTTGCTCCTTTGAACACGCTCAAAAGTAGGTCGGACGAGTGTTGGAGTCTCAAGGCAAAAATCTGGCATGATTAAGGCTTTCGAGCTAGCTAGTCGCTTTAGAACCTTGATGACAAAAAAACCTCGTATAGCCAAAGCCCCAAGTTGAGTTGCGATAGGTTTATCGAATTAAAAAGGAGCCTTGCTGGAGATCGATTTTAATCTACAAAACTTACAATGTATAAATCAAATATTTTCTAAGGACCTCAATGGTAGGTCGATTTACTAAGGTCGTATCAGTGTTGCATGCGAGTTGTTAAATATAAAATAAAGTTTTGAAGAGACCTCAGTGACAGGTCAATTAAGTTAAAGCATGGATGATGATCACATTTTAATAAATTTCCTTAGTTCGGAATGAAATCATCAGACCTCAGTGGTGGGTCGACTCAACTAAAGGTCTGTTAAGTCAAAAAGTTCCAACTTGTAATATTTTCTAAGTACGGATGAGGTATTTTTTTAAGTCATCAGAAGCAGGTCTATCTGTTGAGATTATCTAAGTGAAGATGTCATTTTAATTTTAGATTTTGCCAAATACCTCAGTGTTAAGTTGGTATGGCGGACGTTAAGGTTTCAGCCTATCAAAGACAATAGTGAGCAAAGAGTTAAGCAATGCAAATCGACCTCAAGGATAGATCAACAAAATAGAGACAACATAATATATAGTGAAATATAATTTCATTAAAGAGTACAAACTTCTTCAAAATACAACAAAAGAAATTACAATAAACTACGACAAACTACTAGGGAGGAGTCGACTCCTAAGCAACTGCAATGATCTCCGGGGAAACTTTATCAATGGTTGGCTCACTGGAGGGAGCAGCATCATGAGCTCCATCCCTAAGGCCATGCCTGGTGTTAGCTGCAGCCTCATGAATGACCTCAACCACGACCTCATGGGCCGATGCCTCAAGCTGGAGCAGAGAAGAATGAGGGTCAACATTTAATTTGTGAGAAGGAAGTACAAGCTTCTTCTCCAAGATACGCCATCATTTGGCCTTCTCAAGGGTGCCTTCCCACCACTTGTGGCTAAGGGGAAGACCATGTTTGTCGGTGTAGCCCTCAGGATAGTCAGGAAGTTTTTTCTTGATAGCCTCACAGTCGAGGTTTCCTGAGAAACCTGAAGTTGTGATCGATCCAAAGCAAAGTAAAAAAAAAACTGNAAAAAAAAAAAAAAAAAAAAAAAAAAAAAAAAACTGGTAAGAACTTTGACCAAGTTTCTGAAGGAAGCTCGAAGAACTAAAGAAGTGCTCAACAACCTGCTCTTTATAAGCCTTCACGAAAGCACCTCCCAATTGCGTGGTAAGAAAATGTTGTCGACCTAACACCCGACCTACACTGCCGGCGGCCTTCACCTCTTCCTCCTTTTGTTTATCTTTATCCTTGAGAGAAAAGTAATGCTCCTAAGCATGAGGGTCAACATTTAATTTGTGAGAAGGAAGTATAAGCTTCTTCTCCAAGATACGCCATCATTTGGCCTTCTCAAGGGTGCCTTCCCACCACTTGTGGCTAAGGGGAAGACCATGTTTGTCGGTATAGCCCTCAGGATAGTCAGGAAGTTTTTTCTTGATAGCCTCACAGTCGAGGTTTCCTGAGAAACCTGAAGTTGTGAACGATCCAAAGCAAAGTAAAAAAAAAACTGGTAAGAATTTTGACCAAGTTTCTGAAGGAAGCTCGAAGAACTAAAGAAGTGCTCAACAACCTGCTCTCTATAAGCCTTCACGAAAGCACCTCCCAATTGTGTGGTAAGAAAATGTTGTCAACCTAACACCCGACCTACACTGCCGGCGGCCTTCACCTCTTCCTCCCTTTGTTTATCTTTATCCTTGAGAGAAAAGTAATGCTCCTAAGAGACCTTTGCGAGTTGTTTCTTCAGCTCGAAGTCGTTCTTCTTCAGTCGGTCATTTTCTCTTTCATCTCCTTCAGCTCGCCCTTGAGGTCCTCATAGGAGGGAGAGAATCCATGCAACTCTTCATCGATCATGGGAACTACAGCGAAGAGTTGTAAAACAAAAAGAGTGTCAAGAAAGTATATATGGAAGAACTTGTTAATAAAGACTAAAGAGAAAGATATACCTAGGTAACAGTTTTAGCCGCATATTCAGCCCAACCTCTGCGGTTGGATCCCCAACTTTGTTTTCCTCAAAGAGAAAGACCTTCATTAGGTAGGAGGAGATCGCATATCCATCTGGATTGGTGGCGAGAAAGTGAGGCACGTCGACCTCCACTTGCTCGATGTGATCTTGCTTTGAGCTTCCACAGGTGGTCGACAAGGATGAACTTTTTCGGTCAATGGCCATGTTAGATCAATTCATACTTCTTCGGCCGGGGGAGGGGGCGAAAGATGATATGAAATACCATATCGGCATAATTAGGTCGCTTATGACCTAAGAACGGTTTAACTGAATTGAGTGAACTAAAAGTTCGGTCAAATAACAAGGAGGTTTTGGGTCGTTAGAGCACCAGATCGATTATAACATTCGAGGTAGAGCAGTTCAGCAACAGGTCGAGTTATGACTTTCGGCTAGCATATCAGAAACTCGATCTGTTGTGAAGAGGTCGACGTAAAAAGCAACCTTACTTATTGAAGACCAGAATGACCCTGTTAAAAGAGAATTAAGCTCATAGCCCTAGAATGCTTAATGTAGTTACCTAATGAGGTAGGTTAAATGTGAACACACCACGTAATATATAAGAAGAAATATAATTAAGATAACGACACGTGAATAGGACCAAGTGGGCTAACAGAAATGGGCAATTTAGGCACTCGGGATGTACAATCGGGTAGCTCGGAGATCTGGGCAGCCCAGTCGTGCAGTCTTGGGCAACAAGGTAACATTTCCATATAAAGAGGTGAGGTATGCTCATGACAACTCTACACACACTGATATGCATACAATTACATGTAATTCAACGTCTTCTTCATCACTGTTTACTAACTTAAGCATCGGAGCTTCTACGTCATGACAACCCCCGGCATTGTTTTGCAGGTATTTCACAGGCTCGTAGACGGATGAAAGGACAGTCAACTGGGTCGAGGTCATTTTCACTACCAGACGCGAGAGGATACCAATTATTTCTGGTTTTGACTAGCCGGATAACTTTTTAACACCTTTTTAATTCAAAAATGCTCACTTTGATCCAACTTGACATAGTTTTAAACCCGCCCCGGGAATTGACCCGAGCAGGCTTTCGGGTCATCGAGTAACAAGTTGAACCTTCGGGTCACTAGATCAATTGCTGAACTGGATAATTAATTTTAAAACTATGTGTTGACGAGCAGTCGTTAACGACTCTTAATTACAGAACCAAGAGTGTTTTAGATTTTTTTTATGTTGGGGACCGATGAGAATTATTCTACCTTATAATGAAAGAGCAGAAAGATAAAAAGCACACACAATTTTTCCGATCTGTTGGAAGATCGTCAAGGAGAGTGAATTCTCCAAAAATATGACTCGTGGAGTGTTTTTGTTACACTGGTGGCTCTATCTTGTTGTACTGTCGTATTGTTCTATCTTGTTCTTGTTTTTGTGAGGTGATGGATGCCTCATTTATATGCGAGAAAAGGTAAAAAATAATAATGGTTGATTGCCACCTTGGTGGCTAAGTGATTAACGCGTGGTTCTATGTAGAAATCCGTCTTCTAAATGCAGGACGTATATTCTCCAGTCTTCTAAATGCAGGACGTATATTCTCCAGTCTTGCAGTACAAGATCGATTGGGCGGTGGGTTAAGACCTCTTGGACGGTGGTTTCACCAGCTTCAGTTGCTTTATCGGTTTGATTTTTCAGAAGGCATTCACATTCTGCAAAGAGATCGACAGTGAAGAGTCGGTACGAACTGACTTTGGGCGATCAGGGGATCAGCAGACCTAATCCTCTAGTCTTGGGCCATCTATGATGGGGTTTGTGCATCTCATAAGCCTTACTTGAGCATTTGATGCTTCATTTTTAGTGGGCCGCATATTTCCTCTATTTATGTGGGCTTTTCGGAGTGCTCGTACAACATTATGTATATAGAATTTTTATCATATAAATATATATAAGTAATAGAAATAAATGTTTTGTATATAAATTTTGCACATCAAAGTGTTAATAAAATTATATGTCACATACATAGTTGTTGGTTAAATAAAAAATTTATTTTAAACAAAATTACAGTGATCGGGTCAAACCTGGTCAACCCGACTAATGCCGGGTTAGCCATATCTTGACCTGATCGAAGCACCCACCAAGACCGGTGCCATGTCTCAGATTGACTCACCAGGCCGATCCAAGTTGAAGAACTATGAACTTAATTCTCCTACTTCTTAATTTTTATAAATATAATTAAATAATAACAATCAGTCATCTCGCGCATTACGTTAAACAGTATTCACTATTTATTCGCTCACATACTTTTAACTACTTATTATTTTCAATGCTGTCTTACTTTTACATCACATCATTTTAGTCATTACATTTTAAATATTATTTAAATACAACTCAAATTCAAACTCAATCAAAATACTAATCCCCTAAAAATCAAAACCAAAATTTTTTTCGCGTAACACTAAAAATTTTTATTTCCCGTCACCCCCTACATAGTTCAAGATTCTAACCGCGGAAACTTCAAGTCAAAAACTCCAAATGGTTTCTGGTATAAATCTTCGTCATTCAAATGTAAATTTGTCATGTTGTAATTAAACCTCGGTTTAAACCATAAATTTTTCGCGCTATATATAAAATTTCAGTTTAAACTATAAGATTGTCACATTTTAGACGGAGCGAACAGTATCCATAATGTACACAAATGAGCTGTACACTACACAACCAAAATACACGCCATTTCTCCGAAACTTTCGCAGCTTGCTCGGGAACCCCACAAATTCTTTAGCCCCACAGATTCTGTACAATTATCACTAAGTTTCAACATTCAGAAGGTAAAATTCTGCGAGAACATAATGCATTTGCTGACTTTTAATCAATAATTTTGAAACATCATATATTCCAACGTTGGTACACTAGTAAAAGGTATCCACTATAGGGATCAATTGTTAACAGGCATCTACTTTCGTCTGAAACCATTAATCAGATATCTTCCCCATAAACAAAACTACGAGTAGAATTAAGACTGTCGTACACAACCTTTGTTACCCAGCCTTCACATCAAGTTTAAGTCTCAATTTTTTTCACCTGAAAAGTAATACAAAATTAAGAACCAAGGTCAATAATACAAATAAAAGGCCAAGAAAAAAATGGGAGAGAGAGAAAGGGGAAAATCTCCAATGAATGTTAAAAACTTTAAAGACGTTTCTCACTATCTAATCGACTGTAATCTATACAGAGAATTAAATAAGGTCAGATCATACAATTTTTTTCCACCATATTTTCTTAACAAGAAACAATAGCTACTTAAACACGAACAAAATGCAGTTTGCCTCTATTCACCACAACAGTTCACTCCACTAAATTCTTTTAACAATGCATCCAAGAAATAGAAAAGTCTATTCAACAAAATCTCTCAAGTATAACTAAAATAAATCAATACTTTCTTTTTACCTGTTGGCTTCCGACTACCCGTCTTGAGAAAGGTTTGATCCTCCACCAACCAGAAAGTATCCCAGTCAGACAAACAATAACCCCATCTCCATGTAGGAAAAACTTCTCGATAGCTTCTTCACACCATAACATCCGCAATTGAATATATTGAGGTCCTTCCGTTTAAATCCATGATTCTGGGTTTATCAAAGGAAAATGGAATCAACCACATGAACCAAGCAGAATCTTCAAATTAAATCCCATATGTCCTGTTGTATATATTGCCTGAACTGGGATTTTGGATCTTGACATCTTCAAAACCACCATAGAACTTATTCAATCCGAGCTGCTCGGTTCTTAGCAGTTCGGCCATACCGGAATTATTCACACTGTGGATTTCACTCCACTCATGCCATTGTCCATTAGGACTTATTCCATTCCTCGGATGAGACAGGTTAAACTGAGAAAACGGGGTAAGATTATTTGATAGAGTTTGATCTGCTAATAACCTAGAATGAAGTCCATAAGCATCGCCAAGTGAAGAAAACTTGTCCCCCAAGTCATTATTAAATCTTTGGTTCTGATGTGAGAGGAGAGATCTTTGTAAAAGAGACTGGAATCTTGACTCTTCGTACATAGTCACTTGTGGAGGAAAATTAGACCTCATGTCCATACCAAGGTTGTTAATGCTACCTGGAAGTGTACCTTTGCCAACAGCCAAAATTGCAGGATCCATGATCTCGATATCACCATTGCTAAAAGCATTACTATCTTGGGATGTCTGATACTGGTTTGTTAGTAAAGTAGAAGAAGCGTCGTGCATATGATTTCCTGCAAGTATAGAGAAAACAAATTATAGTTTGAAAGAGGGGAGAACCACATACTGAATATAAAAGAAAGCTTAAATTTGCTGCATGAAATAATTCTAACCAGAAAGTGGTTCAAAAATTGGTTCTGTCCTTCCATGAGATGCAAAGCCTGGAGGTGGCGCTGCTCGACTAGGAACTGAAAATCTTGGAGGGGCAAATACATGAGATCTTGAATCTGTCCAAAAAAACATCACAAAAGATAGTGCAGGGAAGATGAGTGACGAAACTATGAAACGAGTAATTACCATTCAGAAGAGATATAAGCAGAAGTATTCCATGTGATACATTCAGCACAACAAAACAAATTTGCAATAAAAGTGCTGATTGCAGTCCCAATTACAGGCCAATATAGTCCATACAGAACAAATGTTATTCCATGGCAACATGTGAAATCAGAAATATATTTGAAATTTGAAAGCACAAGATGACAACCAGTAACCTTCATTGAGGTTCATTGCTTGCAGTTTATACAGTAAATTTCTAGATTTCCAAGTATGTTGAAAATCATGTAACACTGAGAGCTCCGAACAAAAATATTCTGTTAGCCAATTTTCTCATAAGATCAAACCCCATCCCTGTTCACCTCCAATAATAAACATGAGGTAAACATGGATGCTTCATGCAGAACTTAATATATGCTTAATAACCAAATTCTTTGGTTGCCAAACGAAAAACAAAGACAAAGTAACTGTGATAGCAACTCAAACATTTCAACAACCGAAGGACCACTACAGTGATAATCAAACCCACTATGTTACTTCCCAGGATTTTGAACAGGAATACATGACTGATTTCCAATAGCACCCTTTTACAACAAGGATAAATTATAAGCAAAATATAACACTATTAAATCCTATTACGTTAACTTGAACAACAATTTTCAAGATAAGGTCACATAATTTGCATAACTCCAAAGAGACAACATTTTGTTACGAAAAATGAATAAATCAAAAAAAGAAGAGAAAAGTTTAACTAACCAGCGAGCTTGTTAGAAGAAATATGAGAATTACTGCTGGCAATATTATCTAGTCCTGCGCCACCAAAAACAGGTAAACCATTGCGACTACCTGACCTCTCCAAGTACAGGCTGTTGCCGCTGCATATATCATGGCCAAACGGGCGCTGCTTAAATGATTGTTCAAAGTAATCAATAGATTGTCCAGAACCTGAGACATGGTTCGCGGTTTCCCCTTCTCTAGCAAATGAAAACCTTGACTGATTGCTATTATGAATTTTCCAAGGACCAGATACTCCAAATGACCCTTCTTGCTTATGAGTTTCACCCAACAACTTGACAAGGTTCTGAGGTGAATTTAAGGACTCATTCCACGGGTCAAAATCCATTGATAAAATATTTGATATTATGCTGCTTTCCCCCATATCGACACCAGAACTAGATACTTCACCTTCATATCTCCCAATCAGAGGCCTCTCCGTGAGTGGAAACAAATTGAAATTCCCAGCATCATTACCCTCAGATCTGTTCAGTAAATTTTTAGAGTGTGCAATAGGGAAATTAAGAGTTGGAACCACTGAATTCCCATCTACAACCTGCCTGTCTAAACCAATAGGAACTGCCCAGCCATCACTATTAAATCCATGAGAATGAGAATTAGAATGCTTTGATAAATTTAATACATCAGGAAAGTCTTGCATTCCAACAGTAGAAACCTCAGGATCATTAATCCTTTGGTTATCAAAAGATAACACATCATCCTCCCTTTCATGCCAGTCTACTTGTGCTACTTTACTCTGCATTACAAGTCCAGAATCAAACTGGACGTTTGAACCGCATCTACCATTGATGGTATTTGCAGTTTTTGCAGACGTTTGACGAATCAGTGGTTCACTATTGTGCTCAACAAAGCCATTCTGGACCTGTTGACTTTCATGAATGCTCATTGATAAAATACTACAGCATACATTTTCAGAGTTTCTATCTGCATGATCAATGGACTTATCAACTGGCATGGGCCCAGTTGACGATACAGAAGAGTCAACTATACGAGAAGAATCTGGTGTCTGGTTGGCTTTTGGTGGGCTGCGAGGCAGTCTACTTGAGGACAAATTCACAAGATTTACAGATGCCACCAGACCATCGAGAACAGGTATTCGGCAATCCTCATTCGATTCCTTTTCTTTCAAAATAGAAGTTTCCTTAGTTTTATTTAGAGATATGATGTTCTCTTGATTTTGGATCTTCTTCTTTCCAGTATCAATCTGCAATGACGAAAGTTGACTGGTGCTTGACGTTTTCTTAGAAATTGTCACTGGACCATTAGAAATATCAGGTTTCTGATTAGGTGGCACATTGGAGTTTGGACGAGTGCCCCTGTCCAGACAATATGTAACTCAGGAGAAGTAGAAAACAAAATTAGAAAGTAATTATGATTATAAGAGGATGGTGTACCATGATGCCCCAGCTGGAAGAGCAGCAGATCTTCCTGAGCTACTCTTCTGCGGAGAAACTATAGCACTGCTTGCTTCATTCTGCTGAAGATAGAAAAAGTTGTATGAGCAGGGACAGAAGGATTAAAGTGCTTCCTAGAATATTACCACTATTAAAATTTTGATGGTAACAATTAACATGCAGAAGTTTTAGTCATTGCAATCACATAAATTATTCACCACATTAGCTGAGATAACAAAGTCCTGACTGGAAAGGCAAAAAAATATTCATAGAACCATCAGAGGTCTTAACGAAATAGAATGCAGCATAAGCATTACATGTGGCTAGAAAGTCAAAATTTCAAAATAAGACTGAAATGTAGCAATGTTAGTTAGAAAAATGAAGGTCGTACTAAAGCAATAAGCAAAAAACCTTACATTTGTATTTGTAGCAGCTTTAGTTATAGGCTTCCCAGAAGTAGAGCTATTATTACAGTATTCATCTCCTGGAGGTGGTAACACACTCCCTGCAAGCTGTTGAATACTATTTGACGACCCATTTATTTGCTGAACTCTATTCCTTCAAAATAGTATGCAAGTCAATCAGATACTTGAAGAATAAATACATAAGATCCCCAAAAAAAGTATGCTAAGCAGAAATAAAGTGTTGCCACTTTATCTGTACCCTTGCAGTACATCCACAAGCAATTTCCTTGCCTAGAATGATCTGGAAGTATCGTTCTACAAATACACGCATGATCCCGCCGCCTTATAAGTTAAAAGACAACAGATAATCAAAGCTATACCATGTCCAGTTTTCATCAAAATTACTCACTAATTAGTAGATGGCATTAGTTTTAGAAAAAGGACTTAATTAGATTCTGGAGGATTATCACAAGTTATTAACTCACCCCCAATGTTATTAAATCAGTCCCAGTTTCCATCAACATAAATAAGCCTCAACAAAGACATCAAAGAAACTCCATCTTAGCATGCAACAGAAATAGTGTTATGTAACATCATTGTCAGCAGGAAAAGCAAGCATCACTAAAAACTCATGTCTTCTGCATGAATGCTGCCCATTCTCACACCCTTGTTTTGACCACCAATATACACCAAACCTTAAGCTGGTCAAATATTTCAGTGCCAAAGGAGAATGTCCATTAATTTTACCAAAATTATTTTGGAAAATACTCAACACACTTCCCAAAGAAAAGATCCAAAGAGCATAAAATCCACCACAAGAAAAAGAAAGAAAAAATATCATCTAGTATCAGAGAATTACAGTCCTGTTTAATCTTAGCGCATATTTTTATATACCAAAAAATGAAACAAATATCATGCATGTAAACCTTAGCATTAAAATACATTAGCAGCTGGAATTCAATCTCCCAGCTATGTCCAACAAAAAGAAGAGAAAGAAACAAATATTCCAAAAATTTAACAATATAAAATGCTTATTCACACACGATTCAATCCTTAGACTATCAACATGCGGGGCTGACCCAGGCCATAATGGTAGCCTCTGATAGAGAATAAAAGAATAATCAAACTATTCATGGAGAAAGCACCAGTAGTCTAAAGATAATGGTTCCAATGAGTGCCACAACCAGTGCCAACACAACTTTAGGTAAAGATGGACTGTGCAGAAATAAGAATATATAGTTAAATTACAATAACCTACATGCTTAAGATTGAATATCTAGTACAATATCAATCTCAGAAGAGTAACATTAGAATGTGATAGATAGAACATATGCCTGATGACATGGACTAGAGCTCTTTTATAAAGAAGAACTGATCTTCAATTCTTAACCAAACTAGAAGTAGCAGATCTAACATGAACATAAATTTGCAAGAAATGGAGTTTAAATTAACTGGCCAGAATCAATAGCCATAAAGCATCCATATAATACCTTGTGTAAGCAGAAATTATTTCATCCTTTGTAAAACTATCCTCTTGTGAACCAATCTCGTGCAAGTATAAACAGTCTTTATTGTTGCAAGGCTGAACCAGAATAAAAGAATTTACATTAGGAATGTTGCACTAACAACTAAATTGTAAATGTAAAACCCTGAAATGAATAATATTGTTAATAAAAGTATGACTAGTAAGAAACTCAGCCACAAGTTCATATGGAAAATGCATTAGTCATACCACGTTTCTCAGCCATGCATGACAGTATTTTGTCGTCCCAAAGCATGCCCTACAGCAGGAGTTTTCAGAAACATTCTGATGTGGTATAAAAAGTTCAAAATCATGAGACTCACCTCAAAGATTTCCCGTCCAATACAAATCCATGTACTGATTGAATACACCGAACTGCCTCCTCCTCCTTTGAATATGTTATATATCTAGGACCAGAAAGAAAGAAAGAAAGAAAGAAAGAGTACAAACAGAAAAAATAAATACTTGACGCAAAAAACAAGATGTATAAATGACTAAAAGAAAGGCCATTATAGTTATGAACTACGAGGAAGCATAGTTTTAAATGGCGAATGGCAAGGCGAGGCGGTTCGCTCATAGCCTCGCCACGAGGCGAGGCGATTCGCCAGGGCGAGGCCTCCCGAACACAAGCCATATAAGCTTGAAAATATATATATATATATATATATAAATAGTAATATCATATATTTAAGTTTAAGTGCCAAAAATAATCTTAAATATCCTAAAAAAAATAACATTAATTAAATTTAGTTGTAATTACTAAAAGCATCTAAAACTTAAATGTGAATACTAGCAATAAGGTAAATAAAAAGTGTAAAGTAAAAGAAAATGAAAGAAAAGATGGTACACCCTATCACCCTTGACTATTGACAATACTAGTAAACATAAATAAAGTGGAAAAATAAAGAAAGAAGAAAAAGATTAGAACAGAGAAAAGGGAGAAAGAAAAGAAAGGAAAAGACACGCATCACCGACCGTCTTGGCGGCAGCGAGATGGTGGCCGGAGTTCAGAGGAGGCCGGAAATGGGATGGGTCGACTGTGGGTTTCTGCAATTTTCAAATCTGAGAAGCCTAGGGAGTTCTTTCGCAGAAACCCTAGTTCTAGATTGGGGAGAAGCCATTTAGGGATTTTTCACAGAAGTTTTTTTGCTTCGTGGGCCTGGGAGATGAAGTGAAGAAAGTGCTTGATCTATTTTAATTTATTCTCTTTCCAAAAACTGGCACGCTTTTCTTTTTTTTTTTAAATGAACAGCACCTTTAATTTCTCTGAAAGGCGCCGAGGCGCGCCTCACAGGCGCCCCTCGCCACTCGAAAAGGCGAGCCGCGGCGACCTGAAATGAGCGCCTCGCGAACAGGGTCGCCTCAGGCAGTGGCGAGGCGATATGGCCCTCGCCTCGGTCGCCTCGCCTCAAGGCGTCGCCATTTTAAACTATGCGAGGAAGAGATGTAATGTACATCATAAATTATATGACCCCATGGTATCCCACTGAAGAATGATAAAACTAATAGATGCACTTCTTACCATCACAGTGTAACATGCTATGGACTCTCAGATATTTTTATACGTCCCTAGGTTGGTAGCTAGTGAATGAAGACTCCCCCCAGGAAGAAAATTGGCATAGAAGATAGGCAGTAGCCATCATCATAAACATTAATGTAAATATGCATCGAATTCTTCAAACTGATAACTTAATGATCCAATATCAGTATATAACGTCAGAAAAAAACTTACACACTGCATGTATTATTTGCAAACTGTTGTATAGCACCGGTTGCTGTTCTAGATATTGACACCTTCAGCACCTTTCCATACTGACTGAAGTAATCTTTGCGCTGTAGAATCTACTCAATCAAAACCCAGGGTTACAGGACATCAAAAGAAGAACAAAAAAGATGAGAGAAAACTGAAAAAGAAAGGTGGGGCAATTACATCCTCGTCTGCATAATTCAAAGGCAAGCCTACAATATAGACGAGATTCCGCTGGATGACTCGCACACTTTCAAGTTGCTTCCTTCCTTCCAAAGTTTTTCCCTTTCCCCTCTGTGACTTAAGCTTTTTTTCCACATTCAACTCCGTAACCAGCCTGTTACAGATAGCACATATCACAATCAGAATACAAAACAAATGACCTGTTCAAGATCAAACATTTCCTTTTGGAGCAATGTAAAGCACATGGTAATTACTTTTCACATTTTGCAGCTGTCCCAACAATCTTTTCCTTGTTATAAGGAATGCGACATGCGGGACAACGCCCTTGAGTCTCATCCTTCTCAGCCATGTCCATTATGTGATGCCAACACCACACACAAATCTGCAAAAGAGGAAAGTGCACATCTCCATATAAGCTGAAAACTCAGAACATGGAGAAAACAAAATTGTTGAGCTGTGCAACCACATGGATGGAATAAGACAACTGCTTGCAATGCCAACTAGCACCTAACGTATTCTACAGCCTTGATTTAACAGAAAACTGTGTTATACTTCATATAAGTGATCTACAATGGCACTCATAACCAGTGATTAAAAAGGAGTCACCATGGCATAAGGCAAGGCATAGTGCCCCTTGGACGCCTTGAGCACATGTGGCGAGGTGCCCTTGCAAAAGGCACCGCCAAGGCAAGCGACTTATTATGTGTGGCGACCTGAGGCGAGAAGTGCACCATGGCAAGCAGCAGCAATTTGAACAACTAGGGTTTAAGATCTTAAGCTACCATTTCTTAAATCTTACTTACACATGTTTTGTCAACAAAACCTTAACTTGTGCCTTTTCCTTCCCCGGCTGAGTCGATCGGATTCCAGCTACAGGTCAGATACGTGTCTTTCCCCTTAATTTATTTTCAATCCCCCCCCCCCCCCCCAGGCCCATATTTGGTGAAGGATGTCAGCTCTGCTGCCATCGAAATGTTTCCGGTGTTGGCAACCCTTTCTTTTTCATCATTTTTTTTTCTTTCTTTCCAGAAAACCCAGAAATTATATAAATGGTGATTATATTTTTTCTTCTATATATTGTTACAGCATAACTGGTAAATTATATGATATATCTTGATTTTTGCATAATGGCTCGCCTCGCTTCAGTAAGGCGAGCGCCTAGCATCATGCCTCCCACCATGGAAAATAGGAGGCTTGTCATGGCAGCTCGCTGAACGCCTTTCTAATCACTGCTCATAACCTCCTTATATCAACATCTTCCATGATATTCCTCAATCATGTCAATCTACTTTCTCAGAAGCAGAAATAAAACCCATTAGTCTTTGTCTTCAATCATATTGTTTTCCAGCATCCACATTAACTTATGTAAGTGATATGAAATGTTGCCAAGCAAAGTAATCAAGGATTAGACAAGCCAAGAAGACTACATTAATAAAAATCATCTACTAAAGCACAGTAAAGGATTTTTCAGCAGAGATGAAAAGGTGCATAAAGTAGAAACAACAATTGCAGACTATGTCTGATGCAGAATAGGAATCAGTCGCTGGAACATTCCAATAGGCTGAATCCCCTGGATTCCACTACAATGTCCGAATGTCGAGAGATTCAACAAAATGGAGATGAAGATGATACATAACAGAGAAGCCAACACTACAAAATGTCAGGTAAAAACTACTAGGTGGTGTTCCCTATCTGATAAAAACAATTATGTTTAAATTAGTTCTTCGTGTAAAGATTTAAACTTCGTCAATAGATATTTATTCTAATTGCTGTTGGTTCAAAGATATTAATGACATTTGGGATTCTATGCAGCTTTTCATTATGCAGGACATGAGTGCATTTCAAACCTTGATTGGGTGAGAACAGTACACCGACAAAAGAGGATGATAATACCAAATTTCTGTCACATGGAGTTGAATTAATCAACAGGAAATTAAATTGAATTGCCACGTCATTAAACAGATTTCAGCTTTATAATTCGCATATCTTAGTTTCTAATATAATCCCACCAAAATATGGTTTTACATAGCATTATACATTGAACTACATTTGGCCACACAGCTCTCACGCTAGCATACTAGTTCCACCATGTCAGTAAACGGGATATACAAGTCTGCATAAGTTACAGGGGAAAAATGCTTGAGGGCATGTAGTAGCATACCTCATAGCCGCACTTGCAAGGCTTCAACTGCTGATCAGTCAAATCCATCTCCTCAGCACAGAGAGGACAAGTCTTGTCTCCTTCATCACTCATGGTTGCCTTAGGTGCAATACACATCAATTAAAAAAGAAAAAACAATTCTTTCAACTCAGAACAGAAGAATAGACTTTTTCAGTAAAGTGCGACCACATTAAACTGGAGTTTTTCAATAAGGAAAAAAAGGGCAATAACAACCTATGAGTGCTTCAACATCCAGCACAATAATCAATGGATCAACACAGACAAGACAAAAAGATTTATAGGAAATAGGCAAAGGAATTGGTGTAAAACTAAAATGGCGGCATCCGAACTTATCTACCACAAGGTTAACTTACTGAAGAAAAATGACTTTACTAATCAACCAAAAGTCAAATCTAGATTATCTTTACCCTAGACATAAAAGTTCCTGTACTTCTCCAATTATTTAACGCGCTGATAAATCTCAAATAGTTTGACTAATGATTGAACAATCAATTGAGCTTAAAAGAACCAAGAAATCGACAGAATTCGACCTGATTGGTAACGATTAAACAAAAATTGGTAATGCCATCTGTAAACAGAATGCGAGATCTAAAGAGGGAATTGAGATTGGAGACGAGGGGACTTACAGTGGATGAATGGATCTAGAAAAAAAGGATATGATATGAACAGCGTTAAGGGATGAAAATACTAAATACAGAGAGACAGAGAGCAACAAAGACGGCTGAGTTAGAGAGCGAATGGAGTGAGAAAATAGGAGAGCTACTATTGGATGATTAAGTCCATTTTATACGCTCTCTATGTAAGGGTCCGGGTTTTTATATTGAAATGAGGAAATTACACCATCCACTACAAATTAACATTTATATTACATAATTATATCTCATATATATTTATTTGCAAATTAACTAAACCTATCATATTTATTTACAAACATACCAGATTATTGACAACAGATAATTAGTTTTAAATATGGTAAGAGCAGATTTAATGGGATCTATTATTATCACATTCTCTCTCTCTCTCTCCCTCTCTCTATTCGTTTTCTTCTTCTCTCTCCCTCCATGTTCGGACGTTTCTTGTACCACGGATCCATAGCTCTCTTCCTCTCCATAGCCACTACAAATATTCACAGACCAGGTAATAATTCATGGTGAATTTTTTCATTCTTCAATTTGAATAAAGTTTTCTACATAAACAATGGCGGCGAGGTTGAAGATGAAATCCTCTCGAGACTCTCGAAAATACTTTCTGTATTATCTGTTTCCAACCTTTGTTTGATTTTCTCTGTGGTGGTGGCCGGTGGCTTTTAGATAGCAAAACGAGAGTAATTTAAACATGGTGAGATTCTGAGTTTTTTTTTTTTTGGCTGGTTGACGGAGTGAAGGCCGGGCCTGGCGGCGGGCTCAGATCTCCTCCCTCGTGGTGGTCGGGGCTTAGTTTGCAGCTTGCGCCATTTCAATCCCCTCTTCCCTCTGTCTTGTTTGCCTTTTTCTGCTCAATGATAGAATCCCTTGAAGCTCCAGTTTTAATTCTTGTTATTTTCTTATTTATTTTTGATTTTTTTTTTCTTTTGTCCTTGTTGATTCAACCGCCTTCCTCGTCAGCCTTCACCGGCCTGAGAAGATCGCCGTGCGGGAGCAGCAACTCCAGGCCCGATCCGGATCCAAGTCTTTGTTTGATGTGGTTAATAAATTAAAAATATACTGAACATAAACTAAAAATATACTTATGCTGCACAATAAAAATTTAAAAATATACTGAACATAAACTAAAAATATACTTATGCTGCACAATAAAAATCAACTGCTGAACATAAACCACATATATTAAAACTACGCAGTTTATTTCCATGAACAAATACCAAAATATACTCAACTGCTGAACATAAACCAAATATATTAAAACTACGCAGTTTATTTCCATGAACAAATACCAAAATATACTGCACATATACTTTCACCTGTTCAATAGCAGCACTACGACTATATATGAGTTGTGATAATGAAACATGAAAAGTTTGAAATATGATATCTAACTGATATCCTTCCAAGATTGAGAGCTGAAATTATGGGCTAGAAACATGGAAAGTTTGTTCCATATCGGGTAACTGATATTAGGCATGACTTTAATTACTTTTTATTTTTTAAGTATAAACACAATTTAATTGGTAGGAATGGTAAATGTGCAAATATTTAAAAAACGAGTAGGAAAGGTGAAAATTTCCCTATTGAAATCGGGTTTGGCCCGTCCGGGTTCGGATCCCCTGGTTGCAACAAACAACTATGACAGTTGATTTTATTTTGGGAGTCGTTGGATATAAGTTATTTTAGTTTGATTAGGTTTTTCAAATAACTAGAGTTAAATTTAAAAAAGTTAATTGAATTAAGGTTGAGTGGTATTTTGAATTTTTATTAAATAATATATAAAATATAATAATTAAAATATAATAATTAAAGTTGACTTAATGTAAAAGTATGAGAAAAGTGATTGGAAGAAATGTATAATTAAAATTATGTGAGTGAATAATAGTGGATTAAAATTGATGTGATGTGTGAAAATGACTGATTGTTGAAATGTATACGATTAGAGTTTTAAATCGCGCAACTTGTGTAAGAACACGAATTATAACAATTTACGTAACCACACAAGAATAATTGAAATAGCGAAAGCACGGCAAATATAAAAACTCTTCGGGGAGCGTCCCACTACCCATTAGAGCTCTTCCATTGATAACTCGAGTGTGCACACATACATAGTTTGGACTTATTATAACTATAACTCCCTTCTAGCCTAGCCACAACTATGTTCGAATCTACCAACTACTTCCATGGCCACGTCCCGTGGACTTCAACTCATTCTTGATCCCTCGAGCAAAAATTAGTTCAGATCACAAAAGTGTTTCAATAAAATAAAACAAAAACTAACACAAAACAGCTTCAGTGTTCAGACGCTGTAAGAACATCAGAGCACTGAACTCTGAACAAAAACGACAAATAGCAAAAGGCTTGAATCACAATTAAAGCTTGAATACGGTGAAAGTATGGAATTTCAGCAGCCTTCAATCGTTCTTCAAATAGGGTATATATACAACTCGTTAGGCTTGGAGTCTTCTCCAAATTCTTTCCTTCTTTCATGATTTCCTTGATCTTCTTTCCAAATATAAGGTTGAAACATGGAAAGTAAATCTCCTTTTGATTTTTCTTGATCTCCTCTAGATCTTCTCCTGAATCCAAATGCAATTCCCTTCCAACTGCCGTGCATAAAGATTTCCTACAAAATATAACCATAATAAGCTCATGCAAATCTAATATACAAATATATATAAACCGGATATATAAATATAAATATAAATAAAAGAACTTCTTTTTTTATTTATCTTGCTTGCAAGAACACATCTTCATTTATTTATATTAATATTTGAATCACTTTCCAACAATATAACTCTTTCAATTGCTATTATTTAATTACATTGATAATATTGAGAAGGATTGGGTTGAGTTAAATTTGACTTAAAACAAAAAGTATCTGGTCAAAAGTGACAGATATCTTATAAACAATCAGGAACTTATAGTGAAGCTAATATAGTAGGAAAATCCAGTCAGCTAAAGCAAATTATTTACCTCCATGTCACAGTTTGGGCAGGATGGACGACCAAAGGCAACGACTTCTTTCATTGATGATGCATTACATATATATATATATATATACTAATAACAACTAGTGCATTTGCACGGAAGGTGGATTATTAGAACAGTAAGCAATAGAAAGAAAAAGACAAGAATTAAAAATCATAATTTAATTCATGAAAATTATGAATTCAGAAAAGAATTCAAAACATTATAATTCTTTTATATACAACATTCATGATTTTCCTATCGTCAGATCCTCGTCACCATTAATGAATCATATTAACAGAACTTTACCATTAATGAAGCCTAACTTTGATTTTAATCAAGTGCTATTGTCATCGACTTTCGCCATGAAAGTTACTTTGTCCCGTCCAATGGTTGTGACTTGTGAGACTAAAATCATATCCGGATTATCTAAGCTTCGAAGTTAAATTGCATCATCGATATGAGGATTTGATCTCCAAATTTTCTATCTCCAGCATTCAGTAACAACCACGTTGTCGTGTTCCAGGCGTTCACCATTTCCGTAAGATCTAACCTAGCTTGGGTACCATGTAGAAATGGTAGATCTCAAAATAGACGAGCTAATAAATTTCTATAATTCCATATCATACTTTGAGGAAGACAACTTCCTGTTTATAATTACAGAGTTAGAGGCAAAAATATAAAAGCACACATCAATAACAGCTAAACATAATAAGCAAGACTAAAGACATAAGAAAATCCCTCCCTATATATGAATTCAAAATGTGTTGAGCCGAAGTGGCAGACTCACACGCTTCGGATGCTGACATGGTGAAAATTTATGCTTCGGAATGTCGTTTGTATATTCATTTTTGCTCTGAAATTAGGCTTGTGGTATAGACATAAATAAATTTTTTTTTTTCAAATTTTGGTAAGTGTATATTTAATTTTGTTATTTTTTTCTCTTAGTACAAATTTCCTTCTTAGTTTGGGCAAGTAAAAATCTTACAATCCTATAATTTCTCTCATATTTCTCTTCTAAATTACGATTTACAAATCACTTTATACATTGTATATTCCTTTTTTTCATCAATTAGTCCATAAAAAAATATGAATAAAATTTTTGTTTTAGCAATAACTTTTATCATATATTTTTTAACTCAAAGCTGGAAACAGAAGGTCCGGGGTAAACTTAAACACTTTGTCTGGCAATGTTATAGTGGGATCTTACCTGTTAATATGAATATGAGGCAGAGAGGAATGATGATTGAGGTGATGAGCAAAGACTATGGAGAGGCAGAAGAGTCCATGGAGCATGTGTTCTTTAGACGTAGAAGAGCAAAATTGGTGTGGAAGCATGCCCCTGTTAGCTACGATGGAGTACCAACCGAGTCATGCAGGTTCAGGGAATGGTGGGGAAATATATGTGTCGTAGATAAATTAGAGACTTCAGAAGCCAGGATTCAACTGACAATTTACGTATTATGGTGGCTTTGGAAGACTCGCAATTTGTGGCATTTGAAATAGTCCCAAATTTAATTAGGTAACTCTATTTTTTAAACATTCTCTCCTTGCTTGAGAGTTCCTCTCCTCTGCGAGTTTTTCTCTCCTAGATTGAGAGTCTCTTACCATGTGGGCTCTCACCTCTCCTCGTCTTAGGAGTAACGTTCTCTCTCACTTCTGATCAATTGCGTTAACTAGAGTTAACCGCTTTCATTAAGCATGGAGGATGAATTAGGGCAAAGATTTGGGAAATTTTCTCTGTCGGAGATAGAAGATGCAGTTATCGACATTGAAAAAACAGATGTCAAACCGAGTGTGGATGAATGCCAAAGAAGTCTATTTGGCAAAATTCTGGGAGATCATAAGGCCAACTGGGTGGGTGTTAAACGCACAATGAGCTTCCTCTGGAAATTGGGCAATACTCTTGAAGTCCGAGAGCTTGGTACAAATTATTTTCAATTTATATTTCAAAAAAGAGAGGACTTAGCTAAAGTTGTGGAAGGTAAAAGCTGGATCTTTGAAAATCAACACCTTATTCTTCGCAAGTGGACAAAAGGTATATCTGCGAGTCACCCAACTTCTAATGAAGTAACACTCTGGGTTCAAGCTCATGGACTTCCTGTACACTGGCTAAGCACAGAAGTTGGCCTTAAGCTAGGTAAAGCTTTTGAAAATGTGAAATATGTCAATTTGGCTAAAGCGGAAGGGCAAGGGGGCAGAATCATAAGATTACATGTGGGTATAAACCTCAAGAACCCCTCTCCAAATGGACAAAAATAAGATTGGGGGAACAAGTGATCACTGTCCAGTTCCAATATGAAATGCTAGTAAGCTTTTGCTACTATTGCGGGAGATTGGGCCACACAGATAGAAACTGCCAAAAGAAGGAGGTGTTAGATATGCTGTAAAAGCTTGGCTTTCAGATATGAACACTTTCATTTTGATCTGACAATCATGTTTCGGTCAAAGTATATATGCTTGCAGTTTATTTATTTATGCAATCATACTTCTTGTCTTACATTGAGATAGTGTGGTCCGTGGTGTCTCAAACAGAAAGGTCACCTATCGGTTCCTTGTAAGACTAAATTATTTGTTCACAGTCTAGACTGGCAGTGAGACCCCACTTGGAAAAAGACTGTAGTGTATTCTTGATTCAGTTGATCTTTGACTGGAGAACTGCACCAGTACTTATGTTAAGTATTGAACAGGACCGTGGAATGCTAAGATTATGAGACTCACTGATCGTTGTTGTAATATCGACCTTCAGTTATTGATACATTCTCTAAAGCTGTAAGATAATATAAAATAGGCATGTATATTCATTACTTGTTATTTGATTTACCAAGGGTGATTCTTGTTCCGTTAGGATGACGTACTCGGTACTTTGGTAAATGAGGATGTTTATATGACGCGCTATTATAAATTATTTACGGTCACTATGTTCCAGTGCGCTGGATTGATGACGTCCTCGAAATAAGCTCAGGAAGGAATATTATGTCAAGCCCTGCAGGCGGATGTGTATCCGACATAATGATTAAAGATCTGAGTGGTACTAGTTTCAGAAATGAATAAGAAGTTGATTAATTATTTTATCAGTAATTTAATTAATTAACGGACGTTATATCTTAAACATAGGGAAGTAAATCGATCAATAAGATTAATAAATATTAATCAAGTGGAGGTTTGATTTAATTGATTAAATTGGAGCCAAATGGGGAGAGCAATAATAATATTCTAGTGGGATATTATAATTTAATTTTATTAGGATTTTAGGAATTAATTTTATTCCTTATTTAATATTCCATGAGATAGGGAATAGGGGTAGGAGACTTGAGAGTCTTCTAGAAGGTGATGTTAGGAGAAAGGAATCATGACCTAGTTGGGATTAATAAGTGGAGTAGAATTAGGATTCTTTGGCCTAATGGGATAAACCCATATTTGACACCTCTTTAAAGTCCCTAATGGAGCCTATAAATACACCATGTCCCAACCTCTTGTCTGGTACATGTGAGGCTTGATTTTAGGTCTTCAAAAGAGAGAGGAAATCGAGATTTATACATAATAGAGAGTTTGGGAGATTCAATTAATTGCTCCACCAAGATAAATTGAAATAGGTGTTTAGGTAATCCATTAGAAAATTTTTAGGTGATATTTATCAAACCTTAAAGTTCCAAATGTTCCGGCCAACCACCGCCGCCGGCCTCCGCCGTCTACCGCCGCCGACAGCTGCCGGAAGTCACCTTCACGCGCCCGCACGCGACGTCCCGTTGCAGCCCACGCGTGTGAAGAAATTCCAGCACAAATCTGCCTTCAATCGCCCCAGGTCCAGCAGATGTCCAGTGCAGGTCCAATTTGCTCAGCCCTTTCGCGTAGCCCAGGTCCCAGTGACGCAGCCCGTTGCGCGAGAAACCCAGAAGCATGCGGGCGGCCCAAATACGCGCGTGGCCCATCAGCAGAGGAAAAGAAAAGAGCGCGGGCTGTGCGGCCCGCGCCTCAGCTTACGAGGCCCAATTCCCCTCACAGTTCAGCCCGCGCGGCCCAGCTTCTCCAGCCCGTCTCCAGCGGCCCAAATGCGCGTTCTCGGCCTAATTATGCGTGTCCCCGCGGCCCAGATGCGTTCAAGCGGCCCAGCGACCTGGAAAGCGGTCCAGATGCATCCTAGCTGGCCCAGAACACCTCCAGACCGGTCCAGACGCGGCCAGCAAGATCCAGACTGGTTCAACTCGACCCGACAGCCCCGGTTGGACTTCAAGATGATTTTCGAGCTGTCCGGAGAGTCTGGTTCACATACCGAAGGTCCGAGACAATCCGTTCGTGATTCAACACTCGACTAGAGTCGACAAAGGCCAAATCCTTCAACCGATTGGGTTGTGGTAGACAGACGATCTCCATCAACGGAAATCAGAAACGACTCAGAGTCGGCAAAAATTTTAAACCGTAAGTCCTAATCCTAACTATAGATTCCGCTGCGTTAGGATTTATTATTCAATAGATTTGAATGTGCACATTGTCGACGTTCCTAATAGAACCCAACAGGAGGAAGACTTTGCTTCTAACTCTCTTAATGAAGGTCTATTTGGAGAATGGATGAAGGCTTTAGATGGCACTATCATATCAACCTCCCCAACAAATAGCACCTACTCCCAACCAAATGAAGAAGGTACTAATTTTCACAGTAACTCAAATGAAGGCAGAAAGAAGTGCATCCCACAGCAACAATCTCAGGGCACAGACACAAACAACACCCATCTCCCACTGCAAAAACTTAACACTGCTCTTGAGCCAAGTACACAAGGGATTCAAGAGTCATCTGCATCCTTTCACTTCTCTAACCACACCTCAAAAGGTAAGGAAATAGTAGCTGTGATGAACACTATTCAGGAAAGCAACTCCAGCACCCAACCACCCTTAGAGGCACAAGCAGTACCCATGGGAGGAGATATGGCCATGCAGATAGAAAAAGAAAAAGCATATCCTGCTTTGACAACCAAACCAGCCCAAGGGAAAACATGGAAGAGAATAGCTTCGAAAGTTGGCAGACTTGTTAGGGAAAGTGAAGCAGCACAAGTCTATCATTCTCATAAGCACAACAAGAGAACCGAGAAAGAGAGCTCAAATGCAGCTATTATAGTACATGATGCAAACAAGGTAACATTCAAAAAACCCAAACTTTTAGAGGATAAGGTGGAGGTAG